AGCAGCAGCAGGAGGCCCATTAGCTAAAGTGGTGCCTCAGGTTAAGAACAGTTTCAGGTTAAAGAACAGACCTCCGGAACGAATTAAGTACTTAACCTGAGTACCACTGTACAAGCAAGGAAGGGCTAATAGCTTTCAGGGGAGGAGGTTTCAATGACTTGCCCCATTTGGTCAGAATGTACAGTGGACACTCAGGTGGCGAACGTGATCTGTGCGGGATGCACATTCGCAACCCGCAACTGCGCACGCGCAGGTTGCGATTCGGCGCGTCTGCCAAAACCCGGAAGTAACCCGTTCCGGTACTTCCGGGTTTCGGCAGTCCGTAACCTGAAAAAACGCAACCTGAAGTGGCTGTAACCCAAGGTATGACTGTATAACCTTCTCTTAAACACTGAGCTCAGGGGAAGCCATTTGTAGCAGAAGGGCAATGCACAGCACTGATTGGTCAGCATTCGGGACAATAAGCCTCCTACTTGACAGTGATTTTTTTTTAAAAAAAAAAAGTTTTAAGAAAACTGATTGGGGTATTTGAGGGGGACACCCAACTCACCCACACAATACAGTGGTACCTTGGTTCTCAAACGTAATCGGTTCCAGAAGTCCGTTCCAAAACCAAAGCATTCCAAAACCAAGGCACGCTTTTCCATAGAAAGTAATGCAAAACAGATTAATCCGTTCCAGACTTTTAAAAACAACCCCTAAAACAGCAATTTAACATGAATTTTACTATCTAACAAGACCATTGATCCATAAAATGAAAGCAATAATCAATGTTCTGTACTATTAAATAAATAAGACAGTATTATAGATGATAAAAATTAAAATTAATTTTTTTCTTACCTGCACTGATGATAGTCATTGTTTGGATGTGAGGCTTTTATCCATTTGCGCAGTCACACTATCAAGACCTTCCTCTTGTTTGTACACACTGTGTATATTTGTGTTTGTGGGAAGAGAGAGATTTGAAACGGGCATTATTGCAATAGTGGGGAACCTGTAGCTATCTAGATGTTGGCGAATTCCAGCTCCCGACATGGCCACTGGTCGTGCATGATGGTGTCTGGCCCAGCCTTTCTCATCCTGTGAGTCCCCAGATGTTGTTGAACTACAACTCCCATCATCCCTAGCTAGCAAGGCCAGAGCTCAGGATGATGGGAGTTGTGGTCCAACAACATCTGGGGACCCACAGGTTGAGAACCGCTGGTATAGCCGATGGGTAGGCAAACTAAGGCCCGGGGGCCGGATCTGGCCCAATCACCTTCTCAATCCAGCCCACAGATTGTCCAGGAATCGGCGTGTTTTTACATGAGTAGAATGTTGCTTTTATTTAACATGCATCTCTGGGTTATTTGTGGACATAGGAATTCGTTCATCCCCCCCCCCCAAATATAGTCGGCCCCCCACAAGGTCTGAGGGACAGTGGACCGGCCCCCTGCTGAAAAAGTTTGCTGACCTCTGGTCTAGCCAGCCCCGACAGCTTAACATTAGGCCAGGATTCACATCTCTGCCTTGTATTGTCAAGTTCCTTCCCTTATGATTCTCCTGTTTCTATGGTGAATGAATCCGTACATTCCACTAACTGCCTGCTCAAAGCACATTTTACACAATTAAGGTCACATAAAACCTTTAATGCTGCTTCCCCTCCCTGTTCTTGCCCTTCAGGCTTTCAAACCTGAAAGCCTTAAACCACCAAGTTTAGAACTTGAAGCAATCCCTCCCACGCAGCCCAAATGAAAGCAGAAGATCTTCCCTTTTGTCAGATCTCTGCTAACTGAAAGCTTTTCTCAAGAGGAGAAGGAGCAGAGCACGAAACACCGATTCTGGCTTTGGTATTAGCTAGTTGGCGGACAGCGGCTGTTTGTAAGAAGAGCTCTCTTGGATCAGGCCATTTACCCATCTGGGCCAACCAGATGCGTGCGAAAAGCCCATTCAGCAGGACCTGAATGCTTGTTCTTCTGAGGCATGAACAAGGCAGAGGAGATTGTCTGCACACATACGCAGTCTATGATTGCTTGGGGGAAACCCTGGAGAGGAAGGGGACTTAGATGTCTGTGGGAAGGCAGGGACCTTCAGTCTCAGCACCTGCTTCATGGAGCAAGACCTGCTGGAGATGAGTGGCTGCACTCATTAGAGCTATAGTAGTAGTAGTTGTTTAGTCGTTTAGTCGTGTCCGACTCTTCGTGACCCCCTGGACCTGAGCACGCCAGGCACTCCTGTCTTCCACTGCCTCCCGCAGCTTGGTCAAACTCATGCTGGTAGCTTCGAGAACACTGTCCCACCATCTCGTCCTCTGCCGTCCCCTTCTCCTTGTACCCTCCATCTTTCCCAGCATCAGGGTCTTTTCCAAGGAGTCTTCTCTTCTCATGAGGTGGCCAAAGTCTTGGAGCCTCAGCTTCAGGATCTGTCCTTCCAGTGAGCACTCAGGGCTGATTTCCTTCAGAATGGAGAGGTTAGATCTTCTTGCAGTCCATGGGACTCTCAAGAGTCTCCTCCAGCACCATAATTCAAAAGCATCAGTTCTTCGGCGATCAGCCTTCTTTATGGTCCAGCTCTCACTTCCATACATCACTACTAGGAAAACCATAGCTTTAACTATACGGACCTTTGTTGGCAGGGTGATGTCACCCAGTAGTAGTAGTAATAATAATAATGAATGAATAAATTTATTACGGTCATAGACCAGAGGAAAAGAAAAAAAAAAACATAAAAGGCAGCAGTAATTTACGAGGAATGATGGTTTCAATTAAAAGTTGTAAAATTATACATAAAAACAATACACATATACACACACACACACACACATATACATACTCATATATGCACTACAGTATATGTATGGGCTTAAAAAAAAGGGGGGGGGGCTTATCCAGGGGTCAGAGTAATAATAATAATAGCAATAATTTTTATTATTTATACCCCCGCCCGTCTGGCTGGGTTTCCCCAGCCACTCTGGTGGCTCCCAACAGAATATTAAAAACACAATAAAACATCAAACATTAAAAACTTCCCTAAACAGGGCTGCCTTCAGATGTCTTCTAAAAGTCATACAGTTGTTTATTTCTTTGACATCTGATGGGAGGGCGTTCCACAGTGCAGGCATACCACGGGTTAAAGTAGCTTCAGGATGAGTATTTTCGGGTTGTGCGCTGCGGCGACCTGGAAGTAACGGAGTGCATTACTTCCGGGTTTCGCCACTCACACATGCGCAGACAGTCAAAATGATGTCACGTACATGGTGCAGAAGCGGTGGATCGTGATACGCGGACGCGGGTTGCGTTCACTTCAGGATGTGAACGGGGCTCCGGAACGGATCCCGTTCGCTTCCAGAGGTACCACTGTACCGAGAAGGCCCTCTGCCTGGTTCCCTGCAACCTCACTTCTCGCAGGGAAGGAACTGCCAGAAGGCCCTCGGTGCTGGACCTCAGTGTCTGGGCTGAACGATGGGGGTGGAGACGCTCCTTCAGGTATACTGGGTCGAGGCCGTTTAGGGCTTTAAAGGTCAGCACCAACACTTTGTCACTCCTGTGCAGGTCACGGTTTTTTTGCTAATAAAGAGTTAACTCCAACATGCACAGTGTGATTTACTGCCGGCTAGCTCCTCACATGCCAGCTCCTTATTATCACCAACCCGGTCAGCAATTTGGCTGCAGCTTTATGAGCCAGTTGAAGTTTCTGATCCCTTTTTAAATGCAGCCCCATGTAGAGCAGGTTGCAGTAATCCAAGCGGGATGGAACTAAGGTTGTGCTGGCACATCAGACATCTCAAGGAACGGACTAGCTTTAACTGTGCCAATTCACTCCTGGCTACCGCAGAGACTTGAGCATCCATGCTCAGGGCTGAGCCCAGGAGCATGTTCTAACTGCGAGCCTCAGGAGGAGTGTAACCCCACGCAACACAGGCTGAATCCCTATTCCCTGTCCTGCCTTACACGACTGACCAAGAGTTTTGATTTCCTTTACCCTCATCCAGTCCACCACGGCTGTTGTTGTGCAGGTGACTATGGGCTGTCGGGAGCAGGCAGGATGGATCCTGGCTGCGTCGTCCTAGCAAAGCTGGTGCCCAGCTGATCAGGACCGCAGTTGGCATTCTTCCCCCATAATCCCTTTAGAAGAAGATATGCAGAACCCTGGCAGTTCCAAGCTCTGAGAACTGGTTTTCATGGACTGGTTCCAGTTCAGTGTGTTCAGTCCATAATGCTCAGTTCTCTAGCTCGGCTGCATCTGACTTCATAACTTGGGGACTTGGAAAGGCTGGCCTTTATCCGATGAGATGGGTTTATTTGTTTACACACTGTACATTTCCCTTTCCTTTTTTTTAAGGACCGCTGTTCACATTGGTTATTGTTTTTTAGCCAACTTTGCGTTTGGAAAAGTGTCTGTAGGGATAATAATTACCAAGCGCCCAGTGTAAGATTTTGGGCTGTTTTCCGTTGAGTTGCAATTACGGCTCACGTTGCCGAGTTCAAGCAGAAAAGCAATTATTTTGAAAAATGTATTTTACATTGGTATCATCAAAAAATATTCAGCGACATTCATCTTGGATAGCAAACATCAGTTTCTTTAGCAATATTTATCATTTCTGTCAAAACTAAATTCCCAAAATCTTTCACCAACTGATAATATAGTGCATACCAAAGTCCAGTTTGTGTTGAAATAAAGCTGCAAAATGTGCACTGTTTGACTCGCTAATTTCAGTTTTTTGCCTCTTCCTCGTAGAGTGCCAAAGTGGTTCTTTTGGAGGACCTGGCCTCCCACCTGGGCATAAGGACACAGGTACGTGTTTGCAAGCCAGGCCACAGGTACATCAGCGACAGAGACACCGCCAAGCCAATCCATATGTTTTGACACCGACCACATGGGATGGTGTCCTATCAGGACTGCATATCCTCTCCGTTGGCATCCAGCAACGTTCGCTGGCGAAATGCGCTACCCTGTGTTATCATAGCACAGGGGAAGGGTTCCTGGACGTAATGAGAAAATTGAGCACAGTAAATGAGAAAGCCCTAAATCTAGGATTCTCGCCAAATGCCACTCTTGCTGTGGATTCTGCCAAAGCCAACGAAAACATGCGCCAATGCATCTGGGATGCCAAGTTGCAAAATTATATAAACGCAGCTTCTATTTTCCCAACTTTTAGGATCAGAGCGGGCGTTTCTTCTTGGAGATCATCTGATCCACCTGACTGTTCCAAAATTTAGGAAAGTATTTACCCAGGCTAAATTTAATGCGCTTCCATCTGCAGTACATGAGGGTAGTTACAACAATGCCATACAGTGGGCGCTTATGCCCCTGTCAAACAGAGAAAATAGAAACTGTGGAACATGTTTTATTGCATGTCCTGTTCTTCCTATTGTGATATCTGCCACCATTTCACTAATCCAATTTACAAAGTATACCAAGCAGATCTGAAGTGTTTTATATTGATGAATCTTTGGCTGACCAGTCTCCCGAGATTACCGCCAAGTTAGATAGTTTTTGGGCCAGCAATAGCTTGTCAGCGCAGGATCTTGCCCTAACTTTAAAATTGCTAACACCTTAAGTTGCTCCTCATCATTAAATTATCATTGTTTTATAGTTTCTCCAACTGTTTTTATATTCTGCATTGTTTTTAAATTCTGTATTTAATATTGAACTTAATGTATCATACTGTGTTTTATGTATTTTCCTTTCTTCCTACCTTCTCAACTTGTTATTGATCGAAATAAATAAATATATAGGCATTCCCTCTTCGCTTTTAATGTATGCTGACGTGTAAGAGAAATGTCCCCTGAAGCAGACACTTGCCAGACCTTTGTGGAAAGGCTGGTGTGTCGTGGTGTTGTCCTGAAAACATGCCTCTGCACCTGGAAGTGTGATATTTGCTGCTTACGGGTTTGTTTTTTCCTCAACAGGATGCAATTAACAGAGTGCAAGACCTGATGGCTGATGGAACGCTCACAGGTAACAGTGAAAAACATTATGGGGTCGATCGCCTTGTTTAGACTGAAGCAGCAATATAGCAGCAGCAGCACTGAACATCTCCAGTTGATTATTTTTGATATTCCAGTTTGCTGTTTCAGCTTGGTATCATCCAAGTGCTGAAAATGTCAGCCGTCGGAGTAAAAATAGTTGCAGATGGGTCCAAATTGTTGTTATTGTTTAGTCGTTTAGTCATGTCCGACTCCTTCGTGACCTCCTGGATCAGAGCATCGCCAGGCACTCCTGTCTTCCACTGCCTCCCGCAGTTTGGTCACACTCATGCTGGCAGCTTTTGAGAACACTGTCCAACATCTCGTCCTCTGTCGTCCCCCTTCTCCCTTGTGCCCTCCATCTTTCCCAACATCAGGTCTTTTCCAGGGAGTCTTCTCTTCTTCTGAGGTGGCCCAAGTATTGGAGCCTCAGCTTCACAATCTGTCCTTCCAGTGAGCACTCAGGGCTGATTTCCTTCAGAATGGAGAGGTTTGATCTGTTTGCAGTCCATGGGACTCTCAAGAGTCCTCCTCCAACACCAACAATTCTTCGGCGATCAGCCTTCTTTATGGTCCAGCTCTCACTTCCATACATCCAAATTAGCACAACTTAAACGTCAAGGATTACTTCTGAGAAGACTTGCGTCTGGCCGTTGTTGGCTGACCAAAAAACTGAGATAGTAGAAAACATCAAACATTAAAAACTTCCCTGAACAGGGCTGCCTTCAGATGTCTTCTAAAAGTCAAATAGTTGTTTGACATCTGATGGGAGGGCAGTCCACAGGGAGGTGCCAAGAAGCCTGCCGCATTCCTATACTGGGGTGGAGGAGATGCTTTAAAAAAAGGCTTATTGAATTTTGTAGAGGGGGCCATCAATTCTTTCCTCCTCCATCAAGCGACATGCTCCAGGCAACACATCCTGCCTCGCCCTTGGCTGGTGATGATAGAGGAGGCAAATCTGCCAAGAAGAGTAAAAGCAAACCCACCCACCCCCATTAATTAGTGGGACACTTAAAATCACATTTAGGCCCCTAATGGAACCAATTTGTCAATTAGAGGTTACAGGCCTAAGTATTTATATCGTGCAGCCGAACCCAAACCTTTGGAGACAGCCTGATTAAGAAATCCTAGCTAGGCAATAAAACGAAGGTAAAAAGTGCAGCCTGTGGAGCTTAATTCCGGTTTGGCCTTGCCTCTAGGCGTAATCGATGACAGAGGAAAGTTCATCTACATCACAACGGAGGAAATGACGGCCGTGGCCGACTTCATTCGGCGGAGGGGACGCGTCTCCATTACAGAACTGGCTCGGCAGAGCAATTCTCTCATCAACCTGGAACCCGAGGCCAGAGCAATCGCTAAGGGGGTGGCATGAAAAGGCAATTTTTTACATGCACAGAGGAAATAAAGTGTGGTTATAAAACGGGTGTCCCCATCGAGTTTTTGTTTTCCTCCTTGTCATTTCATTTATATGCCACTTAATATATTTTAATATATTATTAAAGTAATATATAAAATATATTATAATTTATATGCCACGATGGCTTCTAAGCAGTTTACAAAACCCAAATGCCAACCATACAACATTATTAAAATGCGTTTGTCGTTTTATGTACTTTCTTGTGCTTGTTCAGTATCATACAGAAGCAGAAGACGGGTGTCGTCGCCGTTTTTAAAGAAAAATTCAGAATAATTAAAATGCATAATGAAGTGGTCTCTTTATAAACCATGCAATAAAATAATCAAATGAAAACAGTGTATCAATTAAAACAGGAGACTCGGTGAAGAAATCACCTGATTTCTTGGCAGAAGGCCAAAATTGTGTGTAAAAAAAGGAAAGTAAACAAATACATATATGACAAATAATTTTTTTGTTTGTTAAATGGTGTCATCATTCCCTCTGCTCCTTTTCACACCGTGAGTGCCATTGTTTCTATAGTCAAACCAGTGTCACCGTCCACAAGAGAGAGGTATTGGTAGGACTGAACAAACCTGCAGGTTTGCAGAAGTCCAAAAAATAAAAATAAAAAAATGTTTCAGGAGGGGAGAAAAATGCCAGAAAAGCAGAGGAAATCTCCAGACAGTGTGATGAGGACTTTGGTGTAACATTTGGAATTAGGGGACATTCAATAAAGTTGAGTAAACACTTACAACTGATGTAAAAAGGATAAGAGAATACTATTGGATATAAAGAATTTAAAAAAAAAACATTTTTATTGATTTTCCAGTAAAAACAGTCAATCAACATATCCACATCATAAACCAATTAAAAATAAGACCAAATTGTAGTCCAAATTGTAATTATTAATTTTTCCAGCTCCCCATAGTCTGGACCTGGATATCTCCAAATCTTCAGTCCTACCTCTTTTCGTTGTTTTCATATTTTCCGCCTTCTGGTCTTAACGCTTTAAAGTTCTCCGTCCTTGGCTATGCGATCTCAATCATGTCAAAAATCATATGTCCTTTCGTCCACCGAATACAGCTTTATTTGTAAATATATATATTTTCAACTGTCTATTTACCAGAGCAGCTTTTCCTGGACTTCATTCCCATCCAGGTTTATCATTTGAAGTTTAACGACGCAGCAACTCCCAAGTTGTTAAATCACTCCAATCCGGGCTGTTGTCCAAACCTTTCTTTTGAGATTTAGTGACGCAGTGTCTTCCACGTTGTTGAGTTGTTACTATAGATTGTTGGGCAGCCTGTATGCAATATTGCAATGTAAATGAACTGTATTCCACAGATATAAATCATGTGGCGATCGATCAGCCTTCTCGGAGACCACACAACCCCCCCCCCCCATCGATATAAAGAATTTGATATAAAGGGTAATATAGCAAGCAGGGGAAGGAAATGTGTTAAAAACCAGAATAAGAAGTTGAGAGAAGTTGCGGGGGGGGGGGGGGGGAATCTGGGTACTATTCAGTATGTGATTTGATATGTTATTACAATGACGGAATTGTAAAACCTAATAAAAATGATTTTAAAACAAGCAAACAATAAAGTTGAACGGAAGGCTCCAGAGAAACAAAAGGAAGTCCTTTTTTACACAGTTGGCAGAGGACTTTGTGGGTGCCAGAGGAGGACCACAAGGGTACCATTAGACCCACAGCACCACACTGTCAACCCCTCGAGTAGGCTCACGATTTTAGGGCAGAAAAACTACCCAGATAGCACATCTCGCCGGATTATTAGGAACAGCAGTGTTGCACACAAAATTCAACGGAGATGTCTAACATTATAGATGCAGAGCCACTGGCTATTTAATACACAGCACATTTTCTCACCGGGTCTGGTTTCTGGGGCTCACTGAATGTACATACTTAATAATAGCTGTTTACCAGCTCCATCTGGTATGCAGGATGAGACCCTCCCTGCCTGCGGACTGTCTTGCCAGAGTGGTGCATGCTCTGGTTATCTCCCGCTTGGATTACTGCAATGCCGCTCTACGTGGGGCTACCTTTGAAGGTGACCCGGAAACTACAACTAATCCAGAATGTGGCAGCTAGACTGGTGACTGGGAGCGGCCGCCGAGACCACATAACACCGGTTCTGAAAGACCTACATTGGCTCCAGTACGTTTCCGAGCACAATTCAAAGTGTTGGTGCTGGACCTTTAAAGCCCTCAACGGCCTCAAAGGTCCAGTATACCCGAAGGAACGCCGACTTGGAACACTTCAGTTCAACTTCTGAGCAGGACGGCACTGAGATTCAAGTGCTCCAACAGGTATTTTTGACAGAAGTGCTTAATAATAATAATAATAATAATAATAATAATAATATATATTTATACCCCGCCCATCTGGCTGGGTTTCTCCAGCCACTCTGGGTGGCTTCCAACAGAACACTAAAATACAATAACCTATTAAACATTAAAAGTTTCCCTAAACAGGGCTGCCTTCAGATGTCGTCTAAACGTCTGGTAGTTGTTTGACATCTGGCGGGAGGGTGTTCCACAGGGCAGGTGCCACCACTGAGAAGGCCCTCTGCCGGGTTCCCTGTAACTTGGCTTCTCGCAGTGAGGGAACTGCCAGAAGACCCTCGGCGCTGGACCTCAGCGTCCAGGCAGAATGATGGAGGTGGAGACGCTCCTTCAGATATACTGGACTGAGGCCATTTAGGGCTTTAAAGATCAGCATCAACACTTTGAATGGTGCTCGGAAACGTACCGGGAGCCAATGTAGGTCTTTCAAGACCAGTGTTATATGGCCTCAGTGGCCGCTCCCAGTCACCAGTCTAGCTGCCGCATTCTGGATTAGTTGTCTCTGGGTCACCTTCAAAGGTAGCCCCACGTAGAGCGCATTGCAGTAGTCCAAGCAAGAGATAACCAGAGCATGCACCACTCTGGCGAGACAGTCCGTGGGCAGATAGGGTCTCAGCCTGGGTACCAGATGGAGCTGGTAGACAGCTGCCCTGGACACAGAATTAACCTGCGCCTCCATGGACACCTGTGAGTCCAGAATGACTCCCAGGCTGCACACCTGGTCCTTCAGGGACACAGTTACCCCATTCAGGACCAGGGAGTCCCCCACACCCGCCCACCCCCGTCCCCCCAAAAACATTACTTCTGTCTTGTCAGGATTCAACCTCAGGATATACCCACTGTTTCGTGGAATTCTTCAGCACAGCAGAAGGATACAGAAATGCTTCATAAACTCATCTATATGGTGAATGGAATTGTATAACAACAATTGCTATAGAGCAGTGATCATAAAGTTATCCAAGCTGGCGGCCATCTCTGCCTCTTGAGGGAGCAAGTTCCACAGTTCGGCCATGTGGCGGGCCTACGGTTCCCCATCCCTGGCGCTGATGTGATCGATGCGCCGGCAGTTGTGGCAACAGAACAGTTGCCCTTCCATTGTTTTGCCACAGAGGTTCTCTGGCCTGCTGTCGCTTCCACGCGCGCTGGTCTGCGCACAGCCACATGGGACTGGAGGGAAACACGCAGCCATGTCGCTACAGAACGAAGAAGTCCCGGTGAGCCGCCATGCGCAGGGCGCAAGGCGACTGTGGGGAGGTTGCGGTTGGGGCTGGAGAGTGCAACCTCCCTTGGGCGCATAACAGTTGCCGAGCAACAGTTGAGGCTGGGCCTGAGGAACAGGCCTGAGGAGCCGGCATCGTTGGTGCGCAGGCGAAAGCCTTGCGCCTCAGGCGTCCGTGTATGTGGCAAAGCAAAGGCCTTTCCGAAGGCTGGAGCAAGCCATGAGGCCAGAATCCAGAATCCATGCCATAAATGAGAGGTTAGGCCTCGGATTGAGGCCCTAGGAAGCATGGGCTTCTCGCAGGGCCTTCCCAAGACATTTTGCGGCCTGAGGCGGAGGACAAGATGGCGCCCTTCCCAAGGTTCGCAGACACAGGAGCCACAAATCTATATGGCGGCCGTTCTCTCGTGATTAAAAAATGGGATATCCCTCCCAAGTATCCCTATTTTCCAGAGACAATCCCAGATTTACAGAAGCCGTAAATTTTTTGAGCCTGGAATGTCCCACCTTCCCTTAGGATGTCCCTATTTTTAATCTCTGTTGGAAGCCACAGGGTACAAATAATTTATTATTATTATTATTATTATTATTATTATTATTATTATTATTATTATTATGTTGGGGGGTCTAGAGCAGTGGTTCTCAACCCTTTTTTTTTTTTTTTTTGCCATGCCCCACCTAAGCATCTCTCAAATCCTGGTGCCACCCCACCACCCCCTGTGACATATAATTCTTATTATTCAAATAGTGAACTCCTATTCACATGGAGGAAGCCTAAAAGGCCATTAACTGTTAATAACTCGTTCTCGAATTGCCCCCCCCCTTAATATGGCCCACGTTGGGAACCACGGGTCTAGAGTTATCCGACCCCCTGAGCCAAGGAAATCAGTAACTAGGCAACCTTCAGAAAACATCTGAAGGCAGTCCTGTATAGGGATGTTTTTTTAAAGCATTTAATTATGTTTTTATGTATGTCGGAGGCCATCCAGAGTGGCTGGGCCAACCCAGTCAGATGGGCGGGGTCTAAATAATAAGATGATGATGATGATGATGATGATGGAGGAATAGGACATTCCTATTTGCGTCAGAGAAATGTTTTTCTGGGATACTTGCGAGGTATGCAGGGACGCGGGTGGCGCTGTGGGTAAAAGCCTCAGCGCCTAGGGCTTGCCGATCGAAAGGTTGGCGGTTCGAATCCCCGCGGCGGGGTGCGCTCCTGTTGTTCGGTCCCAGCGCCTGCCAACCTAGCAGTTCGAAAGCATGTCAAAGTGCAAGTAGATAAATAGGGACCGCTTACTAGCAGGAAGGTAAACGGCGTTTCCGTGTGCAGCTCTGGCTCGCCAGATGCAGCTTGTCACGCTGGCCACGTGACTCGGAAGTGTCTGCGGACAGCGCTGGCCCCCGGCCTCTTGAGTGAGATGGGCGCACAACCCTAGCGTCT